TTATTCTAAGCAGTTTATATATTTTAATTCATTTGACTATACCCCAAAACTCTGTAAGAGCTATCACCATGTCCACTTTATAGGTGAGAAGTGAAGTTCTTGCCAATATCACCCAGCTAGTAAGTGATTGGACTTTGATTTGACCCCACATTATGTACCTCTACATTAGAAGACTGATAGTGAAAAAGTTCATTATCTGCAACTGGAATCCAAGTATTACACTGGAAGTCCTCAGCTAATGGGCTTCATTTGGTTTGTATGCTGTTTAAAAATCAAGAGAAAGTTCACATTTAAAGCCTGTATTTCTGACTACTATCAAAGAAGTTGGAAGCTGTAGCACTATGCAACTCACATTCTGGTGGGACCACAAGCTGTTTGCTTGTGGCTACCCTCCAGACTGAAGTGTCCAATTCACACAGATCCGTTGTTCATATTAGATAGAGCCTGCTTCACTTCTATTTATATATACGTTTGAGCTTATGATCCCAAACCAGGCAATACTGCAAACATGGTGTTAGCCATAAAGATACATGAATAGTGTTTAATAATGTGCATTCAATGTTTGAACAAGTGAACATAGAAAAATGCCTTCATGAAAAGCAAGTTTCAAACCACAATCGTAACAAAAAATGTCTGGATAGGTCTTTAAACCAGTTGTACGAGAATTGTAAACCCTCCCACAAGTTTCTTTATAGACTATGGGGTGAAGGCCCATTTGTGGTCAATGTTAAAAGCATCCTTCTTTGTTTGGCATAGGTGAAGAGGGGGTCTAAATTTCCATGTATTACTTAAAGCAAATAATAACATCTAAACATTTTTTTCCTCTTTTTGCTCTTTAGCCCTCACTGATTGGCACAATCTTGAAAATAAGCCAGGTACGTAGCAAAATCTTCCTAAAAACCTAGAAAATGTGGCGAGAGGAGGGCATGGAACCTTCTATAGACAAGCCAATGAGGGAAGAAGAATGACCCAATTTACAAGTAAGGAAACAAACTGAAGAATTCCCTAAGACTACATAGCCAAGTGACTGGCCCACCATATTATGAATCCAGTTCTGAGTTCTTTCCAAGACTCCACACTGCATCCCTTAGATCCTCTCTATATGATATTCTGTTTAAAGAAGTAATCTGTGGTGTCACCATTTGCACTAAAATGATATAACATACCCTTTATTTAAAAGTTTTCCTAAAAGACACATTTTTGACCAACAGGGAACTCCAATATCACTCATTAATGGTTCTACTTTTGTAACATGTGAATGTTTTTATTGTTTTACCTTCTTAGTTTTATTAAACAGAAACCAGATAAAGCCATCATCTTTTTACCCTTTTTATTTTATTTTATTGTGAACCTATAGTGATGCTGATAATGTTTACACATCTCTAAGTGAAATTTTAAAACCATTTTCCTCCTCTAATCTCTCCCATCCTGCCTTATTAGAAGTACACAGATCATTTCAACCACTCCCAAATTCCCTTTTGGAATACCCTTAATGATTCTGAAATATTTTGTTATTCCCCAAACACCGCCCTAAAGACGAATCACTGGACTCCAACTTCTTCACATTGCCAAATCGAAAAGAGTTCAAATGTTTTATCTAACCAACTCTAACTTATAACAAAGCCACTTATAGTAAATGATGTGTAGGATATTCTGAAAATACCAAAGCAATAGGGGGAAAAAAAATCTTTGTTCACAGTTTTCCCAAGATTTCTTGTAATCTGGAATAATTATCTTTCTCGAGCTTTTGTAACTTGATCATAGTGTACCTGTGTACATCTATATAACTATTAAGTCTACTTTCATTTTATAATGTCTAATTTAAATGTTCTCACATTCAAAACAATTAATGTTGACAAAGTTAAGACCCTTTCCCCACTTTAGACACTGCAACATGCACAAGGACTTGACAAGCAAGCAAACCAAATAAAAATAATCTTACCCTGATAAAAATGTAAAGAAAATTACACATCATTTTAAAAACAATCTTGCTTTTTGAATCAATCATTCCATGAATATGAATATGAAATTCTAGAATCTACTAGAATTTCCTTTAAAATAGTCCATAGAAGAGTAGTTTTTAGAATGAGCAATGCATGGTCAAGCACCTTTTTCACTAGAAGGTTAACCAAAGGGCACAATTCACTGAACTCAGGGTTTTGACACCAGATCCAACTCTTACCAAAGTTCTCTGGAGGTTTTGCTAAGTTTCAAGATGACCCCAGCTCAGAGAACTTTGGGGACATTTAAAGTTAAGTTCCCCATAGTATTTTAATAATCATGTGAACATGTAAACAAGATGTGTAAGGTTACATACAAATGGTTTAATTCAAATTTTTTCAAACTATAATCAGCTTGAAAACAAAAATCCCCTGCAATATTGTCTTACTGAAAGCACCTAAAGTAATGTATAGCATATGAGTTACTTAATAAATTCAGTACTTGCATAAATTAACTGAAAAAAATTATAATACCAGTGAGGTAGTTCTATAAGTTTTGTGGCAGCTCTGCAATTTTCATAGGTTTCATAGTACGATATCCTTAATTGGTCTTTAGTTTGCTAATTATAAAGGCACATAGCCAGAATAGAAGGAAGTCCCAGAAACCAGAGCAGTTTGCCCTGTTATTTAGCTCATATTTCTAAAGCTTTAGACTAAAGGGGCTACACGAAATTGCCTTTGAACTATCTTATTTTACATAAGAAGAAACTAAAGTCTAAGCTCTCAGGTTAAGTAACAGTTTTGATGATCCAGCTAAGAGGTGTCAAATGCCTTCCTGTTATTATTTCTTACATTTGCTTCTGAAGTTAGTCCCCACAACTCCTCTCAAAATGAGTATTTATAGACTTGAGGGTTTATTCCATCTTTAAAATCTGCACTATCCCACCACTCGACAAGAATTTCATACGACTTCCCTTGTGGTAGGGTGGAAGGAGCCATAATTTCGATATAATTGACCAATGGTCAGGGGTTTTGCTGAACTAAAATGTATGTATTGATAGATCTGCAGGGTCTTGCTTTAAGAGGAAGATCTTTTTAGCTAATTTGAAACTTGAAATTTCTTATTATTCTTAATTTACTTCATAAATAGCTGCAGAGAGGAGAAAAATACGTCATTTCCTCTAAGTACCGTATTGACACAAAGAGGCAAAACCTCCCATTTGGCCACAAGAGGGCAGCTAAAACATTTTCTCCTGGATCTCTACAGATCTAAATCACCATGACAAGCATTCTGGGGCTCAGCTAAATGCACCTTTCCACTTTGTTCTCAGCATGTCACAGAACATTCTGTCACGTTGTTTCTTGGGACTTGTTGTTTTGTTTTTAAACAAATTATTTTCCAACTTCTTTCCAGATCAAAACAGCCCTGCTGTTTTAGAAGTCTGTGCCAGGATTACCATCTACAAAGATCTTTGGAGACCAATAAATCTTTAAGGTAATTTGGAAACCCCCAAAAATGTTTTACTTGTATTATGTTTGACCAGATAAAAATAAAAATAGTAATGATCATCTAATTCCACTACACTTAATAAAGCTTATTCTCAGTGCTTCAGGATTTGCCAAATATTTGCCTCATCTAGCCTTCATTCGTCATTTCCATTTTAGTGATATCCTGAAATCTTTCAAGTCAAAATTTATTGTGGAATTTTATCACTGAGCTAAACAGTGGGAGGTCTGAAAAAACAGATTAGTAATAGCTAAATTTCACATCTTTATAGTTTGACAAAAACATAAATTGATTTCATCTTTTAGGTGCTTAAAGAATTAGGAGTTAATTTGAAAAACAAATTCTAGGTTTTATATGCATACATATGCATGTTCGGTTTGGGCACATACATTCACTAATAATTATTGATAGGCAGTTTGGATATTTACTATTTTTGTTAGTTTTTGAAGAAAGACATAAAGATGTATTTCAGTCAAGTTCATTGGGCATGGGGCTTCTTTAACCATCCTACTTAAAATAGGAATCGTTCTCCACTCCCACATATCCCGTCCTCATTCCCTGTTGCATTTTTCTTTTAGTACTTAGCGACATCTTACATATATATTTTTTTCCTCTTAGTTTTTGTTAGTCTCCTTCACAAACACTCCCTCCCCAACTAGAACAAGAGCCCTATGACACAAAAAGAATGCCATCTGTTTTGTTTAATGCCGTATTCTCAAAGCTTAGAGTAGCGCCTGACACATTGGAGGAACTCAGTCGCTCAACAGCATAGTAAGATCACAAAAATGGAAGTATTTTTACTTGAAACTGATATTTTTAAATATCCATTATTGATAATTTACTTTAGTACATTTAAGGAGACTTCTTTACAATAGATAATAATCCACACAATCAGAATTGAAGCATATTTTCTTAAAGCAAGTATCTTAAAACTTGGATTCATAATCGTTGATGAAAATATTCTCTCGACTGAGCAGACCTGGCTGGGTCCTATTTCCAAGCAATACATCATTACTGGTCTGAGTAATTAGCAGTGGTGCTCCCCCAAGAGTTGTTACAGCATCACACAAGCAAAGAAGTGGCATAAGGGAAAGAGCAGTGACCTAGCAATAAGGAGCCTGTAGTTTTGCCTCTGACACTAGCAAGCCAGGAGTTAAACCATCCATTTAAATTGTTAGTGCTTTAATATCCTCATCAGAAAATGGGTGTAACACTATCCCTGCCGATGTCAAAGAATTTTGTGGAAATGAGATGTAAAAAAATCTTTCAGAAAATATATTTTTCAAGTGCAAGTTGTTAATAAAATCAGTACTTCCTCCTCTCTGTTATGTAATACCTGTACTTGGTAAGGCCAGTCAACTATTTTTAATAGCTTAATGGCAATTCTTACACTGGATGCAGTTCTATTAGTCAAGAAATGTTTGTCCACCTTTCTTAATCCCTCAACACCTAGACTTTCTGAATTAATTTGATGTTGGAAGCTGTACCCCATCTGATCTCTAGGATAAATCCTGTCTGGAAACAAAAGACATTGAAAGGAGCTCTATCCTCACCAGGTAGAATCCACATCACATCACAGTAGCTAGTCTGGCCAGGAATTGTATGGCTGAGTACTGGAAACGGAGTATCTTTCTTCTTTTCTTGCTGATAATCAGATCAAGAATTCTCCTTCCCTTTGGAGCCTTTTCACAATACGATATTCAATAAACATTTACTGAATCAGTGAGTGATGAAAGGATGCCCCTTGTGGAGCCTGGCTTTGCTAGCCCTTTGTCAGTATGTCCTCCATACTCTCATCTCTTACCTGCTGGCTGCTGGCTGCTGCTGAATGCTGGCTGACCTATCAGCCATACCTGTGAAGGTCAGAAGTGCAAGGTATCTTTCTTGACCCCTGCTGCTGTGTCCTATCACTTTTATGACTTCTTCTTTATTCCATTAGACTCTGTTAAACCAACTGCTTGCCTGACCTGTGCTTGGGTTACCATACCCTGTGGATACTGTGTTCTACTTGCCATTCTGCACTCTCTTGGGACATCTACAGTGATTCTGTATTCCCAGGGCCTGCCTCAGTTTGTTCCTGTTCCAGCTCATGGCTTATCCAGACACAGGACCCTTATTGTGGTTAACTGAAAGCATGCTATATTTAGTCATACCTACTATGGGCAGAGTTCTGAAAGTATACAAAACAGTGCAAGTAATCTCCAACTCCAACAAATATTATACAAAACTTTCAAAACATTGTAAATAGACTCTAGGTTTTGGGACTGCATCTCTCTCTCTAAAAAAAAAATCTATTTCAATAGTAATTTCTTTTAAAATATTAATTGAGCATTTCCTTACTTTAGACCTTTCTTGGCACAAGTGGAACAAAGAGAAATGAAACTCAGTCTCTTTTCTCCAGAAGTTCACAGAAGAACAGAGGAGACAATGGTAGAAGTAAAAAATATATATGCAATGCAACATGTATAAAAATAGACACTGTCCACAGTATGGTGAGAGCAAAAGTAAAGAGGTGTTCCCTCTGCCTGGGTGGATCAGGAAGGTTCCACAAAAAGACATTCCTGCTGAGGCCTAAAGAATGAGGAAACAAGAGTGAGGCAGATGAGTGGAGAAGGGTGTTCCTGGTATGTGGCTGTCAGGTTGCCAGGCCAACACCCAAGTGTCTGTTTAACCCCTGCCTTACTCTGCACTACTACAGCACTTTACCAGAGATAAAAGTGGAAGAGGCTTTTGTAGGCCTTGCTTGTGTTGGGAGACCAAACTAAGACCCTCAGTTAGATAGAGTTGACCCTCCGGGGTTCTTACCAACACAAACACACACACACACACACACACACACACACACACACACTCCCACCACTCATCATCTAGGTCAGACAAGAAAAACAATGCAGTGTTAGGAGAAGCAATTCTTGTGCTTTCACTTTCTTATAGTCCTAGCTGATCCTGTGAATGCTTGTTAGGGACTGCACATACAATACAGGTTCATACCTTGAGGAGCTAAACAACTAGCTATGGAAACAAGTCTTGCACATATGAAATTTGAAAGGGCCCAAGGCAGTAGGTACTAAAGAATGACACATGCTATAAGTAAGCACTGAACTCCTAACCATTGCTGCTTTCTTCAGAAAATAACTCAGGTTATTTAGTTCCACAAGTGTTTTATTTTTTTTTAACAAGTGTTATATGTTAAATACCCATTGTAGATGTGTTGATGATGTAAGACAGCATTCTGAAATTCACAAGGCAGTATCCATCAAATTCTGTAAATGCAAATAAGTCTTCCTCTTAAAGACACTAGATTAAGTCAACTCTGGAAAACCTCTGGGGGAATCTAATTAACAGGAATTCTGTTTTACTCAATACAGGAAACACATCAACACTGAATAGGTATGAGAGAGAATTTCCCACCAGCTGGAGCTGTCCCAATTATAATGAATTGCCTTGGGAGGTGGTAGTTTCCCGTCAGGCTAGATAATTACTTGGCAGTAATATTGTAGGGGTGACTCAAGCATTCAGTGACCAGTAAGCTCCCTTCCAATCATGGGATTGTCTGAATTTCTGCAGCTCCCCCCTAGATAGCATAATGGATGGATCTGGAAACCCACACTGCAGAGCTGTCACAACTCAGAAGAGTAGCCATGGGTTAGGTTCATAAGGGTACTAGAGTTCAGTCTGAATAGTGGTGAGGAAGCAAAGGATGGGAAGATACAATTTCTACCAAAAGTTTGATGAAATTCCCAAGGTGCTAATTAGAGTGTCTAGGGAGAGCCTCAGAATACCAAAAGTCGTAAGTATCCAAAAGGGACCATAGTCAGTAGACAGAGGGCATCCCAAGAGAAAATACACCCTAACTGAAAATATAGTCCCTTGAAGATGAGATAAGTAGGATTCTAGAGTGATTTGAAAAGTTCCTTTGATGCTGCTCTCTGGTCCCCACCTGAGGGATTTTCATGAATGTTGCATGAAGATTCTTGGGAAACTCCATACAAAGCTGTTGTCAAAGGTGTGCCTAAGAATGTCTCTAAAGATAAACAAGCAGGAGGTGGACAAACCAAAGTCACTCAGGTTCCTAGTACAGTGAGAGTGTGTGGTAATCATAGAATGGTGACTGTAAAAGAGGGTCAAACAGCCTGAGGGTCCTTGACAAACAAAGAGCAAGTTGTTTAAAATCTTGACATTATGAAGCACATCAAAATAAACTGCAAGGGTATATATAATTCGCTGAGCTCTACTAGAAACAATGGCACTGTGTTGTGATTGTGTCAGTTGAAACATGGTCAAGAAAAGCACACATATAGATCCCTTCTCAACCAATTCTGAGCTCAGTAACTAAAACAGGTTTTTGTTTTAACTTTTATGAGCTTCAAAGATCAGAGAGCTGAATTAGGAAATTTTTACCAAGTCCCTTCCAAATCTATGATCTTTAATCTCAATACACAAAGGAAATCATTTTACAGGAGAAGAAAACAGATATCAGTAGGTCATCTCAAATTATACAAGAAGAAAATATTCTGTAAATAAAGCAAAAAAATCTTGATTCCTAAATTTTTATTCTGTGACTTCTCCTTTATTTTGGACTAAATTGTGATGTAATCAATTAAGCCAAATAAAAGGAAATGACACTCATACACTACACTAGCATTGTTATTTTTGTGGGGGGATAGGCAAATATTTGCTATTTGATTTTATAAAAAAGATAACTACAGAGCTTCCATAGACAAAGCCTGGTTAAATCAGTAAGGGTTCTGCCCAGTGCCCCAGGAAACCCATCAAGAGGAGCCAAATTACTTCTTTTTTAAAAAGCTATCAACTTAACATTACAAATCATTTGCTACTCTCAAGAGAATTGCCTAGTATTGCAAAACTTGATAATTACTAATTCATGACTGATTTAGGAAAAACATCGGCTTAAGTAATCAGGCAAGAGCACTGCTGTTGACCACAAGGCTGGCAGGAAAACTAGCCTTTCTTTCATTATATCTTTCACCAATGTTTAGCATTTTTAAAAATTAAGTTTTTAGCATATCACTAATGGTTTGATTTTTCAAAAAGATCAGAATATGGAACAAGCCAATTATATGTTCTCAAACCCCTATATTTATCTAACTTTTATACACACTAACCAAAAAACCCAGGAAGTTATGAGAAAGTAGTTCTAGAAATCACACTTGGTAATATATAGACTTTTTTTCTGTAAAATATCAGATCTCAGCCTCTTTAAAAGGACTCTACAAACACATAAACATCTCTTCTATAAACTGACAGTACACTCTGTATGAAGTAGCAGGAAGAATTTAATTACCATGCTGAACCAACTCTACCTACCACAAGAGGCACATATCTACATTAGGGTACTGCACGTTCCTCTAATATAAGCTCTGCTAAAAAATCACTTCATTTGGCCAACAGATTACAAGCACATCTGAAAGTATTCATCTGTACATGCTCCTGGGAAGACGTTTGCTACAAGCACAAGTAAATCTGCTATCCGCAAGAAGAAAACTATTCCTTCTCTGTAGAAATTGTTTCTTCTACTTAAAATTAAGAAATTAAGAATAGGGCTGGGAATTTAGCTCAGTGGTTTTGCTGCCTGCTGCACAAGCGCCAGGACCCAAGTTCGATCCCCGGTACCAAAAAAAAAAAAAAACAAGAAATTAAGAATAATCATGTTTTTGTTAGTAAAAGGTAGATTCTTGTTATTGACTTAATTTTTTACTATTTGTTCTTAATATAGGTGTATCAAAAATGTCTAAATTGTGGATCAATTTACTAAGACACACCATTAATGTTCTTGCAGGAAAAAAAGTCAAGTATTTGAGGTATGGAAAACTTAAGTAAGTGTTTTATCATGGATCTGGTAAAATAGATTTTCTTATAAATCGCTGATATTCAATTTAGTAGACCCTTGTTATAAGCAACTTGACAAAATATATTGATTATAAATGTTTATGCCTTAGAGCCAAAAACTCTACTTTGAGGGATTTATTATTAAAATTTTTAAAGATACTTATTGCCATACAATATATAACAGAAAAATAGAGAAATATCTATACTGAACAATAGAAAAATTCTTAAAGAAAAGATAATATAACCTCTAACAGAATAACATGCAGCTGTATCTATTTATGAACATTGGTAATAACATGAAACTTTATAATATTACATTAAAGAGAAGAATATTAACATACATTTATAGCTATGCTCACATACAAAACATTTACCAAAACTATTCTTATAAAACTAAACAAAAAGTTTCTCCATATAAAAAAAATTAAAGGGAATAGGAATACTTTTCCTCCCTTTACTTTTTCTACATTTTCCAAATTTTCTTCAATGAGATACTTAAAGAAATATTTAAAATAAAAAGAGAATAATTTTAAATGGACATGGATTAGAACTGAGAGTCAATATTAGTGACTGAAATTAGATTAGACCTGAGGGGAGTCAGATGTAAAAAAAAGTTTAGGGTAGAATTAATATTTATTAAGTTAAATTCATAATTCATTCAATGAAAATTATTTAAATTGTCTGAAGGGGAGAGGGAATCATGGAAATCATAGTTAAGCCAAGAAAAAAATTTATTCCGTATTATGCAGCAGCAGAAAATATGAACCCTGGGGTTACCAAGATGTAATTTAAGAACTGAAATAAT